TTCCAAGGAGTACTACAACATTAATAAAATAACATGGTTATGTAAAATGTTTAAATGTATAATTGTTATAAATACTTCTTCCAACCCTGATTAGAATGTGTTAAATAAATTTCGATTTCTGGGTCACGATCTCTAAACTTTATCACTGGATCGAGAAAAATTCTTATCTAGTAACCCTAACTTTATCCGGGCTGCAAAGGGCGGGGCGGTGGCGAAGCCAACAGGTGATACTCGAAAAGTTTCGCGATATCTCACGAGATTTATACGCAGATTATTTTCGCGTATGGGAAAGGGGATATCCTTAAAACGTTCGTGTAAAGGAGAAACTTCCCCGTATCGTCGTCTCCAGGAAAATACGTATATCCTTTATTCACTCGCCTGCTTCCCTCCATTCCTCCGTGATTCTTTATAGCGTCGGTTTTACAAGGAATAATAAATGCATCTCGGGAGGAGAATTTCACAAGTACAAACGAGCAAGTTAGTTCTACTTGGCCGTTCTTTATAAATCAAGCCCCAGTGTAACTCGCTTAACTAAATTACCTTGCAAGTTTTGATTGTTAGTAAAAATTCATGATGGACGAGTGAAGACAGAAAAGATCCCGAAGTTCAGAATTTCGTTAACATAATCATGCAGATATTGAATAAGAAAAATCATGATAATAGATATTCACGTATCATTTCGGAAAGTTTATCATCATCAAGTATTGTGTAAAAATAAGAAAGAGAAAGGCGTAAATCCGTGAATAAAACGTAACGAGCGGATCGATGGATGCATTTGACCCACATTCCTATCTCCTGTTACCCACTATTTTCACACGAAATCATTCTGGCCTAAAAACCAACGTCAACTTCGTACAGTCTACACCGCAAGAGGTATCTCGTCAAATATTATCTATTTATATTTGCAGAGCATAAATATATTTGATTAATTCATCCATCAGATGATTAAAGAATACACCTTTTGGAACGTACGAAGTAGCAGAGTAGGACACAGTAATGCACATTCAGAAGGGTTATGCATTTAGATTATCACAATGTTCGCTGCGTTGGCTAACGGCTTTTACCAAGACTGTATCTCAACGTCATTACCATTTTGTTTTTCAGGATGAGGATTACGGTAGCTACAAGTGCGTTGCGAAAAATCCACGCGGAGAGACCGACGGGACCATCCGATTATACAGTAAGTACGCTATTTCGTTTGTTTATCTCACCTTTTAAAACGTACATTTGAGCTAATGACGGACACCAGTGGTCCTTAAACGCTTTTTCACATCCCTCTGACTTTTGCAAATTAAAATACTATGATTTAATAATACAATTTTAATAAAAATAAAGATAACAAAAAATAAGATAATTTTCAATTTTTAAAGAAATATATTTTTAAGTATTTATTTACGAATAAATTTTTAAGTATTTATTTAGGAATAAATTTTGAAGTATTTCATGAGTAGAATTGGAATCAATAATCGAGAAACATTGGCGGATTTCTGGGAGATGTCTACGAAGTAGACAGACAAGAGACACGTCATTTGGGTTGGATCGAACGAGAGAGAGGGTGTACGGTCAGGCTAGTCAACGCGTTCGGTCTTAGATCAGCTGCGCCCGCACGGATTCCACTAATTTGGCTTCCCTCGGCAAATATATACGCGCAATTAATTAACCAACCTCCGGGATCGCTTTCGCGACCGATCTATTAATTCGTGATTAAATCGTTCGTGAAATCGGACGGAGACGATCCACGATCATCGGCTATTGTCCCGGTTACACCATTGGATTTCAGTTACCAAGTAATTACAATCCCATACCATGAAAAAGCAAATTCATAGATAATTCTAATTGTTGAATTAGCAGAATTTGCATCATGGAATCACGTTC